TTATTCTTAAGGTTTTATTGGTCAGACATTTAAATATTCTGCAAGAGTTTCATGGGTCAAATTATTCAAATAACCAACTAAAATTTTGTAGTTCTAATTCATAAGGTGATAAAAAATTTTAGGCTCTATTTGATTCATTACAATGATTTTATACTTTGTTTTAAAGTGTCAATAATATTTACTATTACCTTAATGATATTTGAGAGCAAATTTTGTTTGTATGAGCAGCTTTTTTCTGGCATAGTTGGTAACCGATTATAAAAAAATTGTCTTAATACTTCAAAAGTCGACAAATAGCGGTACTTTGCTGGAACAAAATGAATATTTGTTTGAAAGGTCTTATTTGTCAAAAAATTAAATATTCTGCAAAAGTTTGATGAATCAAATCATTCAAATTACTCAGTTATCTTTTATAGTTAAATTTTAAGGTATTAAAGAATTTTGCTCATATTTGCTGCAAAAAAATGCTTTTTTGCATTGTCTTGCAGTGTCAATGTTATTTGATTATACCTTAATGATTTTGAAGAGCAAATTTTGTTTTTACAAGCAGCTCCTTTCTGACATAGTTAGTAACCTGTTATAAAAAGATCGTCTTAATACTTTAAAAATCGTTTGTTAGCGGTAGTTTTCTGGGATACAATGAATATTAGTTTGAAAGGTCTTATTCGTCAGAAAATTAAATGTTCTGCAAGAGTTTTATGGATCAAATTATCAAAGTTACCTAGCAATCTTTTATAGTTCAAATTCGTAAGGTAATAAAGAATTTTCGTTTATATTTGTTGCATTGTTTTGCAGTGACAATGGTACCTGATTATACCTTAATGATATTTTAGAGCAAGTATTGTTTTCAAAAGCCGCATATTTGTGACATAGTTGGTAAATGATTTAACAAATTTTTTTTTATAATGAACAAGATGTCTGTCAGCGGTACTTTGCTAGGACAATAAAGACATGTATTCTTAAGGTTTTGTTAGTCAGACATTTAAATATTCTGCAAGAGATTAATAGGTCGGATCCTCTAATTAACGATAAAAATTTTATAATTCCAAATCAAAAGGTATTAAGTAAAGTTTAAGCCTGCTTCTAAGTGCTTTGCATTGTTTTGCAGTGAAATCGTTACTTGATTATTACTTGATAATTTTTGAGAGCAAATTTGTTTATTAAAGCAGCTCTTATCTAATGTAATAGGTACACAAATTCTGAATAGCCTTTCTTTATACTTTGAAAACTGTCTGTTTTCGGTACTTTGCTAGGTCACAATGAATACTTATTTGTAAGGTCTTATTCGTGAAAAAAATTAAATATTCTGCAAGTGTTTAAAAGTTCTAATCGTAAAAAATACCCAGTAAACTTCTATAGTTCAACTTTATAAGGTACTTCAGAATTTTTGTCCCTGTTCGCTGTATAAAAATGCTTTTTGCATTGTCCTGCAGTGTCAATGTTCTTTTATTATACCTTGATGATTTTCAAGAACAAATTTTGATATGAAGAGTAGCTCCTTTCTGGCATAGTTAGTAACCGATTATAAAAAAATTTTCTTAATACTTCAAAAGTTGTGTTTTAGCGGTACTTTGCTGGGACACAATGAATATTTGTTTAAAAGGTCTTATTTGTCAAAAAATTAAATATTCTGCAAAAGTTTGATGAATCAAATCATTAAAATTACCCAATAATCTTTTATAGTTCAAATTAATAAGGTATGAAAGAAATTAAGGCCCTATTTGTTGCATTAAAATGATTTTTGGCATCGTTTTGCAGTGAAACACTGACTTGATCATTCCTTGAGAATTTTAAAGCCCGAATTTGTTTATTAAAGCAGCTCTAATCTAGTATAATAGGTACACAAATTCTAAATAGCTCGCTCGCTCGCTCGGACGTAAGGTAAAAGTACCGATGCTGGGACGCACTTTTTGATTCTGTCCCAATAGTGGAACAGTCAATAACTAATAAACTTTTAAGAATTTTGTCATAAAATGAATTAATTTCAGATGTTCAAAGTGGTGTCTAATTATATCAATAAAACTTATCATCTATTTTCAATTGCATTACAATAAAAAAAAAGTTTAAAAAAAATAGCTGTTTCATTATACGTACAATTCAAAACATAACTTCAAATTTTAGATGTCCCATTGGTGAAACACATAGATTCCATTGAAATAACATGTACGTTTCACCATTGGGACATCGTGTACCACTATTGGGACATGCATTTTCAATGATGTTTCGCGTTAGGTACAACATTACGTAGTAAGTTTTTATTAATTATAATTATTTCTTGCTGAGACAAAATTATAAAAAAATTGTGTGATAAGTAGGAACACAAGAAATATAAATAACAATTTAAATGTTCATGTAATCTCCTAGATGTGATTTTATATGAATTTTTAAACGAAATTTTACCAAAAATCGTCCCAGCATCGGTACTTTTACCTTACTAGTACGCCTTTGGGTACGCCAGCGCTCGCTCAGATGTGATAGGTGCTCGCTCGGTAATGCCAGCGCGCCTTCGGAAGCACCAACGCTCTTTCGGTTGTGCTGGCGTGCCCTCGTGTACGCTACAGTACATTCAGACACGCTTGTGTACGCTAGTATTTTTCTGGTGCGTTCGCATACACTCGCATATTCTAGTGTTCCTCAGACGTGCGTTTCTAGGAAGCACTCGTATAAGCTTCTATTTTTTGGATGCTCCTGTATAAGCTCGTATTTATAAGGCATGCTTGTTTATACTAGTAGTCCTTGCATGTGCTCACGTAAGCTAGTACTCCTCGGATGTGTTCACATACACTTGCCCACGCTGGTATTCCTCTGCTGTGTTAACGTATTCTCGTATACGCTAGTGTTCCTCGAATGTGCTCATGTACGCTAGTATTCCTTGAATGCATTTACCTATGCTCGCATATTCTCACAACCAGTTGTGTACACTAGTATTTGTCGGACGCATTCAAAGGGGGTTAAACAGACACCCAATAGTTGTCTGGCTAGGTTAGAGCACGTAAGGTCTTACGGTGGAAGACACAGTCTGTGGGTTCTACCTAGCACTCGCATCCTTCTGTGAGGGATAAACTAGGTTACACTCGAGCATACCAAATGCTCACGTATGTGTAGGGACAATTTTAAGTAATGCTGTGATATGCTAAAGATGCATGGACATGTCAGGTAGCACTAGGGCTTATCTAACGTGAAGACGGTTGCATGTAAAAAAAAATAGATCAGTCAGTACTCTCTCAAACATTGCACACGTACGAAATAGCTGAAAAATATTCTTGGTTGTGCTGAGGTACATCTGATACGCGGAGCCACACATGAGGCATGTTGAATGCCACTGGAGAATGTCTGACAAGTGCATGATTACAAAATCTGGTTAGGTGGGGTTAGAATCACTGGTCCTACGCAAATGATTAGTGGCGCTCACATGACAAGACGTGCTTATTAGCCTTGGTACGCATCGCCTGTAATACACTAGGGCACGTCAGAAAATACGAAAAAGTACCTGATGTATATCCATACATATGAAATTTAAATGCAAGGAAGCTACGGTAGCATAGTGATAGGCTCAATTTCGCCAGATTATACTATCCTTACTAGAAATTGGGTCGCTTACAAGTGCATACGCAACTTAAGCAAGGCATTGCCCAATACTTTCATGTTGTCTGCGTGCCATACTCGGGGTTCACACGAGCTGCCTTAGCACCTTGGTTGAACAGGTGTAATTCAGATGGTGATCGAGATTGTATGTGTTTTATCCCAGGACGAGTTAGTAAGAATCCTAAATTTTCTAGAAAATTCGACATTGTGAATTATCTACCCAATAGTGGTTTGACGAACAAAGCTAAGCTTTACCAATGCACTGGCTTTCACGATGAGATACAGAGGATAGCTGAGGCTGACTTATAATCACTGATCTTGGATATGCTCATTGAACCGAGAGTCCTAGGAATTGTTTTAAAATATGAGATCGCGCTAGATGGCGCTAGGGTCAGTCAATGTTCAGGGGTGCTAGGGATCTCGGCTGCCAGAAATTTCTTTTACTGTGAACGCAACCCGTTTTTACATCTTATTGGCTAGAGTCTTTTAATACCGGTAGTGCCACCTTACATTAGTTTGCTAGGTCACCATCCCCATAGAAAAATTTACTAATGAATTTAAAAAAAGTTTATTAAGAGTGAATTAACCAAAGAAATCAGTGATTTGAGTGTACAGTGATAAATTTTGGTCGGTGATATCATGTGCACTACAACATGGAAATAAACGAAAACATGGATTGCCACTGCGATAACACAACATATATAAGTGCATGCACATTCTTGCACTTGTGTAAAGCTTGTAGGATACAAGTAATCCACAGAAATGTAATATTAGTGTGCAAAAGTTAACCTAACCTGTTATTAATATTTATGTTTATTGAGCACAGTGTTGTGACAAATGGATAAGTGTTAGCAGTACTTGCGTTTCTCAAAATGCAAACAAAAGCAAGCATGTGTATGAACTTATATATGTTGTGTTCTCACAGTTGCAAACCAAGTTTTTATTTTTTCCAATCTTGTAGTACTTATGACAATACCAAACAAAATGTATTACTGTATCCGCTCAATATATACACTCAAATTACTGATTAATTTGATCGATTCACTTTTAATAATCTGTTTTTAAATTTATTAAAAAATTTTCTAATAAGGCTCCGTGTATTCTGGCAATTCCAGCGAGGGACAATTTCTCTCACTCGACGGCGTCACGTGACATAGGCGCATAGCGAATACAGGCACTGGCATCTTGCGGATAAGCATTAAGGAGTGATGACAATTTTGGCTCGATTATAAACTCATTTTTTCAAACAACGATAATATTTACTTTTCATAAAGATTAAAAATATTTTCAACATTTGTCAAAGCGTAATTTTTAATTAATCCTCTATAAAAAAATTTCATCAGTCTCAACCCATCACGCAATAAATAAAAAGGTTATCAACAAGAAATCTTTCATGAAAAATACGCTTCACTTACCTTAATACAATCCAGGCTTGTTCCTTAAAATTTGTATCCTCCTCTGATACCATCAGACCATTGTTTACTCTAAGTAGTAAAAATATAGATCGCAGGAAATTATCGTGATTATTGGATACATAAAAAGGTGTGTCAAAGCTCCATTTGCATGGCGAGAATATTTGGCTGAACGTTCTGCTGAGCAGTGGACACTGCCAAGCTACTCTAACCGAACAACTTTTCTCCTTAACTATTTCTTGTTTCAGGATGCTGAGTAATAATTTACATTTAAAAATATTAATCAGTTATTTAAATTCAGTCTGAGTTTAATCCGTTATTTTCAAAACTTTATAACGTTATTAAAAATATTGTATATTCGCTGTGTGGACAACGTAGCAGAAACTAAAGCTTTGTATTGCAAGTGGGTTTGGGTATCGAAGTTCCGATTACTGCCACTTGCCACATTGTGCACACAGCGAATAATTTAAATAAAATAATGTATTAGTATCATCATTGAAAGTAATATTTTAACATCGTAGTACCCTACATGACTTAAACAATGTATTGTTTCAAAAACTATAAAGTATTAAAAATAACGCATCTTGGTGTTTACAAAATATGTTATGCTACTAGTAAGGGTTAAGTAAAAAACTGAAAAAGGACAAGTATATATTGCGGTTAGTATAAATTTCACATGTGTAAGTAAAAGTGTATGGGTGATTCCACCGTAATTGGCTCAGACAATGTATCTGTTTTGGATGTACGTAATAAGGGCAAATACATTGCTATAAAAGTCAATATTTATGTAAAAAGTGGCGCTCTTTTTATTTTAATCATAAAAATGACCTTTAAAGTTACTTTGTTGATCAAACTTACGAATAAACGGTTGAAACGTCCTTTCGGTTCAGGGTCACTTTTTAGTTTTAGCACCCATCAATCTTCGTTGTGCGAACATTGAGCTTGTACACTCCAACTGCGGGTACAAGTCAATAACTTTGGTGTTCTGACGATCTACCACCACCAATATTACAACAGAATTCATTTATTAACAATTTGAGAAGTATGCATACACTTTGGTCCATTGAGGATGGTACTTAGGATAGAAATATCATAAAATTTCCGTTAGGTCCATTTTTAAAGTCATTTTAAGCCAGTTACAGCAGAATCACCTATACATATGAGTCATTCTACAGAAATCGGCGTATTTTAATGGATTAAAATTTGTATGACAACCTTATTATTGTGTTAAAGAAAACTAGGTGCATTACGGGCTCTTATAAAATCGTTGAAAAACCGACACTGTGATGCACCGAACAAAATTAAAACTATACCCTTTCACTTATATCATCTACAAAACAACTATGTTTTAATCCATCACCTTCCCAGGCGATAACCGAACACTTTGAAAAGATACGTAACATTCTTTAGCGTTACGGGCTCTTAGTTTCTATTTTGGGAGATCGAATTCACAAACTTGCAAGACTGTAGCACTGGCTTATCGGGATGAAAACGTTGGAAAAAAATTCCCACAACATCCTCGACCTCCATAGAATACTGTTACGTACGATATGCTGGGCATATCTTACTGACTCACCCTAGTAACTACAGGTCTACGCTAGTAAAGGACACCAATAGGGGAAACGAGCTTATATAAGGCCCTGCGAGACACGAATCGGGGCACTCGAGCGTCTTTTAGGCAAGAGACCGAACGATAAGTAGAAAACACCGCGCGAAATACACACGCCTCTGCCTTTAAGAAGCTAATAAATAATTGACAAACGAGTTGAGTTCTTTTCGTGACGCACCTCCTTACCAGTTTCTTTATCCTACGTAACAATACATACATAACGTCCAAAGAGAAATTCGAAAATTCAATGGCGAGCTTTCGTGAGAGCATTTTCTGTTTAAATATTACTTTTCTCAGAGTCAGTCCAGCAACTTAAACAGCATCTAACTCTTGGATGCAATTTTTTTTGGTGTTCTCAAATATGTGAAAGTGTTGTTTGTATTCATAACTTTAAGATCACATGTCGTATAAAAAAACTCGTTACTGTCCGAAGTGTTATTTTATTAATTACTAATTATTAAAATAACTATTCATTCATTTCAATCGATTTAGATAAATTTGATTTTTTAAATGTTGCGTGCAGTTACAATTTTAAACTTTGCGCTTGATAGTACCACCTACTGCTCGCTAGGTGGCAACTACTAGTTTCTGACAAACATTACAAGTAAGAAAGTAGCTTATAGTATATAACAAGGACTGCGTGACCGCTTGAAATCATCCACCCGGATCATTTGATCATAAGCTAAAATTAGGTTCACGCTCGCTCGACGAGACCTATGCTACAGCAATGGATAGAGCACTAATTAATTTCAATAAAACGCCAATGTCACGTTAAAAAGGGACCATGTTAGTTCACCTAAATCCGTCGTTTCACCTAATGCCATTGTAGCGGAGTAGGGGTACCCTGTCCAGTTCCCTCCAAGTGAGAAGGTGTGTTCAGTCTATACACAGACACGACTGCAAGTATAAGATAGCGCAGCGTGCATTTTTACATTTTTAATGTAAAAATGCCNTCACCTAAATCCGTCGTTTCACCTAATGCCATTGTAGCGGAGTAGGGGTACCCTGTCCAGTTCCCTCCAAGTGAGAAGGTGTGTTCAGTCTATACACAGACACGACTGCAAGTATAAGATAGCGCAGCGTGCATTTTTACATTTTTAATGTAAAAATGCCACCTGAGCCGTAGATACCGTCAGAATATTTGACTGAAAAACTTGAAAAATATTTTATTTTTGAAAACAATAAGTTGAAAGGTGAAACAAATAAAGTGTGGAAAGAAATTCAACATGAATTAAATCTTAAAATGCTTCCAAAATCTCTTTTTTTACACGTGTACAACAATCGGCATGGTTGCAGAGAAACATTAGAAAAACATTTTAAAATAATAAAAAAAAAAGAAAAAATCAAGATAAAAGATGCAGACTTTAAAATATCTGGTGATAAAGATTTAAATCCAAATAATTGCGAACCATTAACATTTGAAATTGTTGTACCAACTAAAAATGTTATAAAAAATGCAAAAGACAATTTGAAAAGTGATGGTTGGAACACAGCTATTAGGACAGCTGTTATGAATAAAACAGACTTACCTTGTGCTTTCAATCTCAAGAGCGGTTACATAACAAAAAAAAACTTGATTTTTTTTGGATATTGCACGGACTGCAAAACTTCTATTAACGGACAAAGCCATGATTTGAACGAAAATATATTAACTATTAGAGTCAGTACTTATGCTACACACGATATTCATCATGCAAAAAAAATTAAATTATCTGGTACAAGAAGAGAAAAGGTCAAAAATATTTTAACGACGAAGACAGCATCAGATTTTAAGGAAGATGTGTTGGCTGGCATAAAAACAACGTATGAACCACCAGACTTAAATTCTTCTGCAGTCCTCCGAAAAGCCAGAGTTGAAGCAATTGATGATAATATTGGCTACAAAGAATTTAAAAAAGTATCTTTGAACAACAGGAAGTTTATAGAAAAATGTCAAATTAAAAAACTATCTTTCAATCCTCTGTACGTCTTTTATTGGTCAAATGATCAATTAAAATTGTGGAATGATTTGTGTGATGAATACTTACCTCTATCTATTGATGCTACAGGTGGTCTTATTAAGAAATTCATATTTTCTCCTGGAATTAAAAGTAAACTAATTAATTATTATGTGATGGTGATTGGTTTTGAAAATAAAATATTTCCATTATTTCAAGCTGCCCTTACTATTCACGGTGTGTCGATAATTAAAGATTTATTAGATCGGTGGGTAGAAGCAGGGGCCAAAGTTCCTAAGGAAATAGTAACTGATGGCTCACTGGCTCTTCAAAATGCCATATGCTTGTCTTTTAATCATAAGACATTCAAGGGCTACAATCTTCAATGTTTTCAGCTCTTAAATAAACAGACCACAGAAATCCCTCAGTGTTACTATCGACATGATGTTAATCATTTAATCCATGCTGTCTGCAAATGGAAATGCTGGAAGAGTGTAAATGTAGAAGTTATGCAATTTTACGTAAGATGTTTTGGTTATTTAACAACAATACACGATCTTCAAGATTTTCATAAAGTTATTACATCGATTTTTATAATTTCTAACAGTACAATTTGTGCAATAGATTCAGAATGTTACTCAAGTAAAATTTTTTTNATTATTTACGAGTAGTTCTCATTTACATCAATAGATTTATCATAATGGGAGGAATATGTATGACAAATGTAAATGTACTGAACTATCAACATGATTTATGTATCGTAAGTACTCGTCAAATGGAGTCACCTTTAACTATAATATTAGTGAAATAAAAAAATCAGAGTACACGGATACTGGAACTAAAATATTGTAGTGAGTACATCGTAGGTAATAATAGTGATATAAGTATATTCTCAAAAATAAAAGAAAAGTAAAAAAAAATAAAAACCAACTGACAGATTTACATAAACATGTAGACGTAAGATTGTCTATTATTAAACAATTTCAGTTTTTTCCCCACTTCGATAACACAAGAAGGAGATTGTTTAACTTTACTTGATTATTTGGAAAACTATAAATATTTACCCTAAATTTTTAAGCAATCAGGCTCATTTAAATATTACTATAAGTTGTTTCAATTTTTTTAGCTCAAAAGGAGCATACTGAGAAAATTAAATTTTGGCTCACGAAAGCTTCCAAAGACAAAATAACAGACACGATATGGGGCAAACACATATTCAGATTTAATTTACATGTGTTTGATTACAGTAGTTCGTTTACCCTTGTACTAAATTTAAATGAAAATAAATTATTACCTTTGCTGCAAAGGAAAATTCAAGAATCAGCTATGATGTATCTTTCATTGTTCATTAGTTTTTCAAAATTTTTGTTACTTTTTCAAAAGCATCGTTCTTTCGCTTTTTTTTGATACTTGCTTAGTACGTAGTATGTGTTAGTCGATCATCATGGTAACTGCATTAACCAGATATAAAATAACTTGGATATCTATAAGTATTACAAGATGATTACGAACTAGTTTATACTGGTTAATTTGTTTTTAAAAATTTGCAATTACCTGCACAGTGCGACAAAAGTACTAATAATCTGATAAAAAAGATAGAGTTTTTCCTTTTTGTTGACTATGCCACACTATAGCTATTAGACTAAAACCATGACAGTTAGCTAAAACAGTAAAAATCAATAAGTATGTGTTGTGTGAGGCAGCAT